ACCACAGCCGCCCCAGTAGCAGCTCACAGGCTAACACACTGACTCACAGGCTAACACATCAGGTAACAGGCTAATGTAGCAGCTCATATGCTAAAACACTGACTCACATGCTAATACACAAGCTAACAGGTTAATGTAGCAGCTCACAGGCTAACACACTGACTCACAGGCTATCACACTGACTTACATGCTAATACACAAGCTAACAGGCTAATGTAGCAGCTTACAGGCTAACCCACTGACTCACATGCTAATACACAAGTTAACAGGCTAATGTAGCAGCTCACAGGCTAACACACCAACTAACATGTTAATACACAAGCTAACAGGCTAATGTAGCAGCTCACAGGCTAACACACAGACTCACAGGCTAATACACAAGCTAACAGGTTAATGTAGCAGCTTACAGGCCAACACACTGACTCACATGCTAATACACAAGCTAACAGGCTAATGTAGCAGCTCACAGGCTAACACACCAACTCACATGCTAATACACAAGCTAACAGGCTAATGTAGCAGCTCACAGGCTAATACATCAGCTAACAGTCTAATATATCAGCTAACAGGCTAATGTAGCAGCTCACAGGCTAACACACTGACTCACATGCTAATACACAAGCTAACAGGTTAATGTAGCAGCTCACAGCCCAACACACCAACTCACATGCTACACAAGCTAACAGGCTAATGTAGCAGTTCACAGGCTAACACATCAACTAACATGCTAGTACACAAGCTAACAGGCTAATGTAGCAGCTCACAGGCTAACACACCAACTCACATGCTAATACACAAGCTAACAGGCTAATGTAGCAGCTCACAGGCTAACACACCAACTCACATGCTAATACACAAGCTAACAGGCTAATGTAGCAGCTCACAGGCTAACACACAGACTCACAGGTTAATGTAGCAGCTCACAGGCTAACACAGAGACTCACAGGTTAATGTAGCAGCTCACAGGCTAACACACAGACTCACAGGCTAATGTAGCAGCTCACAGGCTAACACAGAGACTCACAGGTTAATGTAGCAGCTCACAGGCTAAGACACAGACTCACAGGTTAATGTAGCAGCTCACAGGCTAACACACAGACTCACAGGTTAATGTAACAGCTCACAGGCTAACACACAGCCTCACAGGCTAATGTAACAGCTCACAGGCTAACACACAGACTCACAGGCTAATGTAGCAGCTCACAGGGTAACACACAGACTCACAGGTTAATGTAGCAGCTCACAGGCTAACACACAGACTCACAGGTTAATGTAACAGCTCACAGGCTAACACACAGACTCACAGGTTAATGTAGCAGCTCACAGGCTAACACACTGACTCACTGGCTAAAACACTGAATAAGGGACTGACACTGTCCAAAGTTGGGATGTTAAAGTAGCTGTTTCCTGCACTACAGCCAGAATTGATAAAGCAGGATGACAATATGATAAATAAAACAATCATCTCATTATTTTAAGACTCAAAATCTTTTCCTTTCAAAGAATAAACCCTTGTTGAGCCCGTTGTTCTCAGGTTGGGACCAGGGTTAGAACTTTGTATGAAATGATGCTGCTTCATGAATAAAAACTGCACACAGGTGGTCGATGTTCAGGTGTGTCTCTGTGCTTCCATCACCTGTTGTGATTTCTGTCTCTCTGTCAGCGTCGTCTCAGTGATGCAGCCAAGAAAGCCATCGGTAAGCTGACGACAAGGACGGTGAAGAGAGGAGACAAGGTAACGCAGCTTGCAGGTGTTTTCTGCATGTCTGTCAGGTCACCAGAGGGATGAGACTAGAACATTTCTGCAGAAACGTTATTTCTCTATTTTTATAAGCTGTTACAGAGCCAAACTTTTATTTTGAAGAGGTCAGCACAACTGTTCCTCTTCCTCTTGAACATTAAAAGGTCTGATTAGAGACARCATGAAGTCCAAACTTGTGCAGAATCTCTGGGGTGGCCATGATGGAAACTATTTGCTGAAACTGCAGTATCTGCACACTCCTCACGTCTTGTGTCCTTGTTCCATGTGTCCTTGTCTCTTGTGTATGGGATAAATCTTGTGCCAGCAGGAACTGAATTTGAATCGCTCAGATTGAATCTGAATGTGCATAATTTGAAAGTGAATGCATTGGTTTGAAAATAAATTTCACTAAATTGAAACTGAATTTAAAGTTTTGAATTTGAATTAATTTGCTTTGAAACTGTATTTTGGTTTATTAAAAATTCAGTTTGACTACTTTCACTTTCAGTTCCATAATTCAGATTTTTGTGTCACATCCTGGTCCTTGAGAAAGCCAGGCAGAGTAATTTTTAATAAACCGAAATACAGTTTCAAAGTAAATTTATTTTCAAACCAATGCATTCAATTTGAAATTATGCACACGCAGATTCAATCTGAGCAATTCAAATTCACTTCCTGCTGGCACAAGGTTTATCCCATACTTCTGTCCTTGTGTCTGTAACTTTTTAACTTGTGTGTGAATGCACCTCTGTCCTCTGTTTTGTTATTTTGTGAAGGAAACCGATCCGGACTTTAACCACTGTGCCGTGTGTATTGAAGCGTACCAGCTGAACGATGTGGTTAGAATTCTTCCCTGCAAGTGAGTCCAACTGGTTCTACCTTCAGTTTTGTCTTCGCAGTAAAATCAGCTCGAACTCTGGATCTGAGGCGTCTCTAATCTGGTCTCTTGCAGACACGTCTTCCATAAGGTGTGTGTGGACCCATGGCTGAACGAACACTGTACCTGTCCCATGTGCAAACTCAACATCCTCAAAGCTCTCGGCATCATGGTGAGTCACGGCCGCCGCCGCGGGACAGGTGTGTGTGCGTTACCTGAGCGTGACTGTCCTCTGTGTCCTCTCCGCTCAGACCAGTCTTCCCTGCGTGGACACCGTGGTGTTGGATGTGGAACGTCTGGGTGTCGCTCAGCCTCCCGGCGGCCAGAGGGCGCCGCTGAACGATGGCGGCCAGCCGTCCATCAGCTTGGAGCCGCTCAGTCCCGCCCACCCTGAGACCACGCTCAGAGCACATGCTGACATCACCGTCGCCGTAACCAGTAAGAGTTCTCAAAACTCTAGCTGCGTTTCCGTTGACCATGAAAATGCGCAAATTAGAATTTCGAAAATAAAATTGTTAAATGGAAATGCGTCAATTTGGAAAAAAATTATTATTTTTTGACAAAATTGTTTTACGACAGGATGAGGTGGTTTCGAAATTGGTGTATTTCGCAAAACTGCAATGGAAACACTTTTTTCGCATCACGAGAGTCACGTGATCGACAACCGGATGTTTCTACTGGTAAAAAAGACGACGAAGAAGATAGGAAGTAGAAGTAGCAGTAAAATCATCGAAGTTGTGAAGAAATTTATTAGTCATGTTAGATACTGATTTTAAAAGCACTACACCATTTTTATAGATTTCCTTYTTAAGGATTGACTTTTATAATCCATTGTTTGACTATTGTTATGTCTTGATTAAAATAGTTTAGATACATGCCCGAAACACCATCATAACACATAAAAAACCGTTAATCAAACATAASTACAGGTTTTTTGTCTGAGTGTCTGCGATTCAGCTGTAGGCCAGTAGTGGGAGTACCAGACACTGAAGAGCATGTATTTATACGCCGGGACTCCCGGTTTTCTTCAGCGTTGGCTTCTTGTTTGCACAGAGGACAACCACCGCTCACTCCAGTCACTGGTGTTGTATGGTCCTCTTCTCTTCACATTTTAATCTATTCAACATTTATGTGGTTTCGTCTCGATTTCAGTTAACGAACACTAAATTTTTATACAGTTGTAAAAGAAAGTAGTAAACTCACCGACTACAATTTCCCAAAAACACAGCATACGTAGCCACTCCCAAGTATAAGGGACTTGTCTCTGGAAAGCCTGGATAAGACGCAAACGTCTCCTCTGATGATGAACGTTAGTGTCGTGGCAGCAATATGCTATGTTTACATCCATTGCCGCCATGTTTTTAACGACTTATCACGAGAACAAACGTATTCATGTGTGAATTCATTAGCATTTCTTACCTAATGGAAACAACGCAATTGCGAAACTGTTTTTTCAACATTAACAGAATATCAACAAAGTTTTTCACACATTTGCAATGGAAACGCAGCTACAGGCACTGCTTGAAGGCTCAGTTGTGTACTGTTTGCTGATCAGTCTTTCATTTGGAAAAAAACTGAACTTCGCGTTTTTGACACCTTTTTTGTTTGTTTGTTTTGTCTTTCGGCAGGCGGGGGTCACTTCTTCAACAGGAGCTCCGTGTCTCCTCGTAACGTTGTCTGTGAGATGGAGCTGCCGGACATCCAGGCTTCCCTCGATCACTATGAGGACAATAAGTCCTGAGACTGCCTGCCATGATCTCCACTGCCCAGCTGCTGATGGACATTTATGGACACAGGAAGTCCTCGGGGTGTTTCCTGTTGGGGTGTGGGCTTGTTTTTGTTGGGGAGGACTGACGACCCAGGACTGGATGAATACCTACGTAAAGTTTTACCACTAATGTTTCCAAAAAACAAAAGTTCCCCAAAGTATCCTGGAACTGGAACAAAGTTGCTTGAAAACGTTCTGAAACTTCTAAATGTAAATTTGCTGGCAAATTTATGGACCTCTTAAAAACTTTGGGTTTTTCTTCTGGTTGCCGCGAAGGTGTGCCTGAAAAGAAGGTTTGGGGTTTTTCCGGGAAAAGATCCCAGGTTCCTAATGGTCTTCATTACTCTCGCTCCCTGATGAGTTTGAAGAAGTTTCTCTTGAAGTTTTTAGAAGAAGTTCTTGAAATTCGCACCAGGAGGCACTTTGGGAGAAGAAGTTCCTGACACTTTAGTGAGGTGTCTGATTTCTGTGAAAACAATGAGCTCAAAAGGTCCGTAAGTGTCTCTTAAGTCTTAAATGTGCTCTTTTTGGAAAATTACAAGTTCCTAAAAATGATCCTGGAAAATTCCCACTAGGATCTCTGTTTCACTCTTCTGAGCCCCAAAGACGGTTGCGAAGGTCTCCGACCYTCATGGACTCTGATACTGACCCTACTGGTCTTGTATTGACTGATCCTGTTCTCTGCATCGTGTGGGAACCAGAACCAGAACCAGCGTGTGTCCTCCTGAACTTGGACCTGGACCCTCTGGAGGACCAACGTTAAGAACTTTGACTGTGGATGATCCTTCTGTTGTGAAAACGTCCAACAAACTGTCCGCAGATCCGAAACTTTAGATCCGAAAGGAGCCGACCGACATTTCATTAAACCTCCAGTTGTTTGGGATTCTGTAGGATCTGGGCCGGTCTGGGTTCTGGGACCTCACAGGGATTTAAAGGAGCATTCCAACAGTTTTAAGCAGCTTTGTGTCGTCCTCTGATTTTAGGGATGAGCAAGTTTTCAGATAAATTATAGCTGAAATTAATGCTAAATAAAATGCCTGAAACTCTAAGATCAGCTGTTAGCTGTAATGTTAGCTCCAGCTGTTAGCTCTAATGTTAGCTCCAGCTGTTAGCTCTTTTAGCTCCAGCTGTTAGCTCTTTTAGCTCTAGCTGTTAGCTGCAGATGTTAGCAGCAGGCCCTGTATGTTATCTCCAGACGTCATGATAAACTCATTATCTTAGCGTTAGCACAGATCCAGAACCAGAACCCTGACCTGAACCTTGACCTGTAGCTTTAAAGCAGAGCGACGTTGGATCAGTTTCTGCTCATCATCTGTGGGTTTCCTGAAATGACGGACCGAGTCTTTAAAGTTATAATCAGCCGCTTCTGAATTATCAGCGTGTGAAAATAATCCGTATATAAACAGCATTATACAATCTATAATCTGACTGATTAATCAATATTATCTCCAAGTGACCTGAAGATGTCCGGAGGGACACTCAGCTGCTGACTTTGTCTCTCTGTGTGTGTGTGATGATGATGATGATGATGAATGTGTGATGCTTCCTGTCCACTGTGTCTTTACTGCCGCAGCATCTACTGTCATTAAAGTGTTGGTTCGTCTGCAGAGTCTGCGTCTGTTTTTTCACTTCCTGGACCCAGGAACGTAGATTAGAAGCTGAACCAGAACCCCTAAAGTCTGGCTGCAGTATAGGTTTAACTTCACATAAACAAAGAGGGGCGTGTTCCTAATGAAAACAAACATGGCAGCACCCATGAACCGGAGACTCTGGTTTCACTTTTAAAAGGCAGAGGAGGCGAAGAAGACGCTTCGTCCATCTTTGGTTTCAGCTTTAAATTTCCATGTGTTGTCCGCTTCCAGCTTCTCATCATCAGGTCTAAAAACACCAGAGAGGGGTCCCCTGGTGTCTCCACCTGGACCACCAGGCCCACATGGGTCCAGCAAACAAAATACAATAAACTTAAGAGTGAAAGCTTAATGACTTCTGAAATTTGTTAAAGAAGYTGAAACTTGAACGTTTGATGACAACAAAAGCTAAAATTAGCAGAACAGTGGCAAAAGCTAGCAATACGGTAGCATCCAAATGATGGGTAGGCTAGTTAAAACGTTGCTACAGGCTTAAGCTAGTAAATCTAGCTACAACTAAAGGATAGTAAAACATTAACTAAAATCTAAAGCTAAAAAAACAGTAGTTAAATTATTTAGTAAAACATTTGCTATAAAGATAAAGCTAGTAAAACTAGCCACAAGATTAACCTAGCTAGCTGCTAAATGTTAAAGCTAGTTAAACACCAACTGAAAATTAAAACAATAAAAAAATACCTGAAATATAAAGATAACAAAACAGTAGCTAAGTGATGAATTCGGTAAAACGGCAAAACAAACTAGAGAAATTGCATTTCCTGCAAAAATGCAAGTGTGAATGCCTGTTGCTGAAAACTTTAGCTGAAAGCTGCTGAAGAAGCTGAAATTGAGCTGAACATGTATAATAGCAAATGTATTACTGGAARTTAAACTTTCAAAGATGAAAGAAGCAAAGAAAAAATAAAAAACTAAAAAGGAGCAAAGATGTAGCTGAATTAGCATAAAAAAGGTAAATGCTAAAATAGCGGAACATAGCAGAAAGCAACTATAAGAAGCATAAATAACTCTAATTAGCAGAAAGAACTACAAAAAAGTAAAACTTAGCAGAAGAATAACATAAAAGGGCAGACACATATCTAAAATACTGGAAAAAAGCTAAAGTTTGCAAAAAAAGTAGATAATGTGTAAGGTTCTAAAGATTTAGAAACATTTTGAAGAAATTTAAAGATGTTGAAAAAAGCTCCATTTCCAATGGGAAAAAGTAGCCGAAATAGCTTGAGCTTGCTCTGTTTTAATGTCAATAAATCAAACACTGACTTAGTAAAAGACCTTTAAAACTAGCTTTGGCGGCCATCTTGGGTTTTCTTTCGACTGTTATTTATGATAGACCTAAGTCTCAGCTACTAATATATTAATTTTTAGCTCATTATATCAAAAATTGGTCAAATTCAAGTAATGTGAACTAACTTTAGCTAATAACAGCCGAACATTAGCTAAAATTGCAGCAAATACCTGAATATTGCAGAAATCAACTTTAGGACGTATAATAGGCACAAAGTGGAGGAAAACGTTACAAAAAATAGTAAACAGCAGAGAAAAAAACAGAAAGAAGCAGAATTTTAGCTAATATGGCATAATAATAAGCTAAACATAGCAGACTCAAGTTAAAAGTAGCAACCAGATGTTGAAATGGTTGTAAAAACATTCAGCAGAAAAAACCCCCATAAAACTACTAAAACATGATCATTTGTAGTAAAATAGTTAAAACAGCTGAAGTTTTAAGTAAAATAGCTAAACGGTAGCTGGAAATGTTTTAATTWGCATAAGGAAGCATAAAACACAGGTTTAGTGAATTTAGCAGAAAAAAAGTTGAAACAGCTACAAAAATAATGTTTAGCTTTAAAAAGCTATCTTTAGCTAATACCAGCTAAACATGCAGCAAATAGCTGAATATAGCAGAAAGCAACAGTAGGAAGCATAAATAACTCAAAGAAAAAAAGAATTACAAAAAAATAGTTATCAGCAGAAATAAAGCTGAAAGAAGTCATTAGATACAAAGCAGGGAAATGCTAAAGCTAATAAAACAAGCTAGAGTTTTACTTTCACATCAGTTCAGCTCTTTGTGGTGACGTGATRACGCACAGCGCGAAGAGGGCGTGGTTTAACGTGTTACACCCGGAAGTGATGTGAAATTATCAGACTTCTCCCTGAAAACAACATCCGAACCCAGAACCCCGACTGGACGTGTTCCCGCCGAGCAGAACCGGGCCGAGATGTGGATCGAACCGGAGGAGGTTCTGTTGGCCGGAGCTCTGTGGGTGTCCGARCGGGCCAACCCGTTCTTCGTCCTGCAGAGGAGGAGGGGGCACGGCCGCGGCGGGGGGCTGTCCGGTGAGTTCGGTCCGTCTGATGTCTGGGTTCGGGCTCACTTYGTGGTCCGGTTTGGTTCGATGTGAGTGGTCCAATCTAGTCCCAGCGGTTCTGCTGGGATAAAACGTTYTAGAGTTCGGTTCTGTCAACAAGCAGAACCTTCAGGTTCTGTTTACATGAGCTGAGTTCCACAGCATGGTTCCGATAATGTGGACTTCATTTAGAACGGACCAGAACCAGAGACCCAGTTCAGGAAACGGACCGGTTCGAAAGCAACAGAACTTTTACTAAAACCGTTAACAGTGAGGATGACGTCACTGCTGACAGAAAATGATGTGAGGTCACGTGCTGCTGATGTTCTATGATGTGTGTACCTGCAAGGGTCCGAGGCTGGTTCTGAGGCGGGCTGACCAGAACCAGAACCACAGCTGTGTGTGTGTGTGTGTGTGTGTGTGTGTGTGTGTGTGTGTGTGTGTGTGT